TGAGGCAGACTACATCAAGTTGCTCTTCCTCAACACTTCAAGTGACAGGAAGGTTGCTCTCAAGGCAGAGCAGAAAAGACTCAGAACCCTTGAGTTCAACAGAGAAAGGCAACAACAGAAGGTTGTTCAGCCAAAGAAAGTCTCAAAGAAGCAACAGAAACCTCCTACCCCTTCTGATTCTGAAGAAGAAATGCCTTTGGTGAAGAAGGTGGTCAAGAAGGTTCCCAAGAAGAAGACCACACCTCTCAAAGTCCACAAGATGGTGGCAAAGAAATCTGTCCTAAAGAGAAAGGCACCTTCACCTATCTCTACAGAAAGCACCCCCTCTGCCTCCCCCATTGCAAAAAAGGCCAAAATTTTGACACCTGCAGCACAAGAGAAGCTGAAGGACTCTGTCACCTCTGCCCCAGCCAACAGAAATGCTTGGCACGGCAAGAGGATCATCTTTGAGTCAAGTGACTCAGAAGAAGAAGTAGTGGTGCAGAATGCCACTACTCAGGGGGAACCACATTCTTCTCCCCCTGCCTCTGCACATGATCAACCTCTGGTGGTTTCTTCACCAGAACACCAAGAAGATAGCAGAATTTCAAGCCTTGCAGAACCCCTACTGAACCCCACTCCTGATAGGGAATTCATCAGGGTTCTGGCATGGAGAAAGTGGAGAGTGGGACCTCTCACTGAGCTACTGAAGAACATGTCCCACTTCATCTCTGAAGAAGATGAAGTACTCAGATGGGCTGACACAGAAGATGTGGAGTCTTGCCTGAACAAGGATTTTCTTCTTTCTGTTCTACATAAGAAGGAGAAACTTCAAGGAAAAGCACCTCTGTTCAGAAACTCACCAGAAGACCATGTGAAGGCTCTTCAAGAGCATGAGATGAATGACTTTGATGCTTGGTTAGTTGAGAAGAAGAGGAAGGAGTCAATGATCAAGTTTCGCCACAGTGCACATGGAGAAGGTGAACCCTCTACTGCAAATGATCTACCCCTGATCATGGAAAGGCTTGTCAAAGAATGGAGAGATTCTCTGTTCACAGAAACTATACTAGAGGTAATTCCCCCAATCATTCCTTCTCCCCCTCCCTCTCCTAAAAGCACTTCTCCCCAACCCCAACAGAAATCCCCCTCACCCTCACAGAAAACCATCTCTGCACAGAAAACCCCTACACACCAGAAACCCTCCACCCCCAAATCTTCATCTCCTTCACCCTGCAAACCGTTCTCTCCTCCAAAGAACAGATCACCATCCCCTCAAGGACAAATTATCCAATACCAACACCAACAGATCATCTCTTCAACAACATCACCCCAACATAAAACCTCTTCACCCAAAACCAAAAACCCTTCTCCCTGCAAATCCCAACCCTCAATCAGATCCAGATCACCATCGCCTCCACCCTCTCCTCCACAACAACAGAATGCTCCCTCACATCAACAGGAAAACCCCTCCAACAAGAAATCCAGAACTGCTTCTCCAAAGCCGGCACCACAAGATGCAGTCATTCCTCTTTCCCCTCAACACTCTGTGGCTTCTACCCCCATCAAGAAACCTATCTTCAAGGTTCACTCATCTTCTAGTGATAATGATGTGTTCCTCACCTCCTCCATAGCAGCTGACCTTACTTCCAAAAGGAGGAAGACCCCTCCCCAGAATGAAGAACAACCCAGAAGGCCTCCTATGCCTAAATCAAGAAGTCTAGGTATGCCTGGGTACACAGAATCCAAAGAAGCTAAGCCCCAAATCTCCTTCAATCAGTTTGTCACTGCAGCTGAGGACTTTGGGAGTAAAGTGCTTGATGGAATGGATCAACTGGCTGAGATCAACACTAAGCACCATGAACATATCACCTTTGTTCATAATCATCTTGAGGCTGGACTTCAGCATATCTCAGAGAAGGTTGAAGCACTGACTCAGACACTGGTCACCTTCATGGAATCATCATCTGCAAAACTTAATGCTGTTGCCAGAGAAGTTGATGGTGTCCACTCTGTTCTCTACTCACAATCTCAGACTCTCAACAAGCAGAATAAACAACTCAAGGATATAACAGAATCCCTTGACATTGTACAATGGTATGAAGACCAATCTGTTGAGAAGTTTATGCAGCTACAACTCTTAAATAATGATCACAAAGATCAAGTGGCCAACCTGATCAAGAAGGATCAAGAAAGATATCAGAAGCTGATACTACTTGAAGCTAGCTCTCAGGACATCAAGTCTGCTCTTGATCGTCAACAGAACTTGATAGAAGGTCTGACCTCTGTCACGCAAACCTAACCAGAAACTCTTGAGCAGATTGCCATCTCCCAGGCAACAGAGTTCCAGAAGATTGCTATGATGATCTCTGACCTGGATGATGCCAAAAAGGGGAAAAAGGAAAAGGACTCCCAACAGAAGAAATTGCCCCCTAGGCCAACTGCTGGACCCTCATCTGATATTGATCCAACCCCTTACTTTCAGGCCTCCCAACAGAAGAAGAGAGAAGTTGGTACTTCAAGACCTTCTTCTCCTCGCAGAGGTTCTACCAAGAAGAAGAAACCCTTGAGCTTAACTGAGTGGAGACTTGGAGGCTCTCAAAAGATTGACAGAGCACAGTTTGAAGAAATACAACAGAAGATGACCCCTACTCAAAGACAGAATCTCTATCTTGACAGAGACGGTCATATAAGGGTCAGACATGGTGGTTCCTTGGAAGAGGCTGAATATTGGTTTCACAAGAGAGTACTCCCAGGCAAGGATGTACATGAGGGAGTACTTCACTATCTGAATTGCAAGCTCTCTCCCATTTGGGCCTCCTGTCAAGCACCAGGAAATTTGGCTGGCATAAGAGAAGAAGTGAATGCTGAACTTAAGAATCTGAAAGAACAAGATCGCAGAACCAGAGCTGAAGCTGAAAGGGAAAATCTGTAATTCCTTTTAAACTTCTCTTAAAACTCTTGGTCTAATAAAAGCTTATCTCTGCTCCTTCTAAAGTCTCTTTGCTTCTTTACTCTTTGTTGCGTACTGTTTTATTCTGTACTTGTTTCTTTTTGAACTGCTATCTGAATGTACCGCACTCTTACTACTTTCCTATGCCAAGTTGCCCACCAAGATTTTAATGAAAAGTTTTAAACTTTAAATTTTTATGGTGAAGGCATTTCTCTGGAAATAGTTAAAGGGTTTTGGCATCATCAAAAAGGGGGAAATTGTAAGGAATAATTGTATTTAGATTTTGATGATGCTATATTAATTAGGACTTTAGAGCACCCCTTTTAGAAATTATGTATTAGAATTTTCCCTTGTAAAGTTCTTAGCATAATCGACTACCAGAAGGCCTCTCTACCAGAAGACCTCCGGACAGAAGATTTTGGTTCTCTGTCTAGGAACAGAAAACCTCAGGGTCTCTGTTACCCTTTAGCTTGACAGAAACCCTCTTGGTTCTCTGTAAGCTACTATCAACAGAAGTGCTCAAGATCTTCTCTGATTAGTTCTCTGCCAAAGACACCAGAAGGTCTGACACTTGGAAGAAATCCACAAAGCCGGGAAGTCAACTAAAAGATTCCCTCAACGGCTAGGAGTATAAAACGGAAAAGCTACAGTGCTCGCATTAAATGCTCATTTAATGCTCCCCATGCTCCGTGGAGTAATTGCAGATGATTGGCCGCAATGTCAGGATTACTTTATCCCAAAATAGTAACCCGTCAACTTTACTGGGTCCTACTGGTCAAGTCAACTGCTCGCGCATTAAATGCAGTTGTCCTCCTACTCCTCCAACGGGAAGACAACCTCAGTATAAAAGATACACTACGAAGAACAACCGGATAACTTTGCAACTTTTGCTACACATTGCTACAACTCTTCATACAAGATATTCAAACTCTGAAAAGCAAAAAAGCCTCCTTGAGATTCAAACTCATTATCTTCTACAAGAGAAGGCAGGAGTTGGAAAAATACTTTTTCCAACTCAAGCAAAGTTCCAAGTGTTCTTCAACTCTTCAAGCTCATCACATACAAATCTTTTGTAACGAAGCTAGTTGGAGGAACCCTTGTTTCAACAGAAACTCTTCTTGCTACAAGAAGGACGTCCAAGTAACTAGAGTAGTGAAGTGGTGATACTTCCAGGAAGCTCAGTGAAAGGACCAGTCTTAAAGGAAGCCAGGCAGTGCATCCCAGGAGACATCTAGACTTGAAGAAGACGTGGAGAGCTTCTTAAGTACTAGGACTAAGGCTTTGTAAACGGCAGTTTTTACAGCTTAGTGGAACAGTGGACTAGAGGAACAAGTTGTTCCTTGAACCACTATAAAAATCCCTGGTGTCGTTTACTTACTGCTTTAATACTCGCACTTAGATAGAACTGTCTAACTCCTTGGACTTGGTATCTGTGTTCAGCAGAACTTGTTCTACGAGTTAACAGAAGGCCTACTGCCTTTGCTTCTCTGAGGCTAACAGAACTCCCTACCAGAACCCCATCCGCTGCCAGTCTGTTCTTTCAACAGAACAGGCTATTCTGTAAATCTGGTACTTAGTTTAAAAAGCTAAAAACCAATACAGTCTATTCACCCCCCCCTCTAGACTGTATCCAGTATAACCGGGACCAACAGTGGGGTAGTGGGTGGGTTAGGGTGGTGGTTAGGGGTAAGGGTGGGGGTAATGAGTAAGGTTGGGGTTGGGGTAGGGAGATGGGATAGGATGGCGGTAGGGTGGGTCCGAGGTAGGGATAAGGGGTAGGGTGGGGGGTAGGATGGCAATAGGGTAGCGGTTGGATGGTGGTACGAGGGTGGGGGTAGGATGGTGGTAGGGGCATGTGGGAAGGGGTAAGGTAGGGGTAAGGGGTAATATACGAGGTGGGGGTAGGGTATGGTGAGTTGGGGTTGGGTTGAGGTGGTAGGGGGTGGCGGTAGGGTAGGGTGGATCGGGGTGGGACCGAGGTAAGGGCATGTGGTAGGGGGTGGGGTAGGGTCATTGTAGGGAAAAGGGGTATGCAGGTTGGGGGTTGGGGTAGGGGGTAAGGGGTAAGGTACGAGGATGGAGGTAACAGAATGGAATCAACATCGGAGCGGGATCAGACTCATCACTAGGTAGGTGTAAGTATGCAAATTCATTGCAACAGTCTGTAACATCTGCGTTTTCCAAATTTGGAAAACTAGTAAAAGTCACGTCTCCAAATCATTAAGGAAAAGAGAGACATGTCACATTTTTTTCGTTTTGGAAAACGGTTTGGTAAACGCGTTTTTCTGTTTTCCTTTCTCTAGTATTCCAACAATTTTCTTTGGTAAACACGTTTCGTGTTTTCTGTTTTCTAGTTTTCCAGTTTTCTGGAAAACCGGAAAATATCTCTGTTAGTAAACATGCCCTAAGGTTTTTCCATCCCCAAATAAGTCTTAAGAGTTTGACTATTTCCCACAAAATTCTTCAACTCTGGCTTTTACTTTTCTGTGATTTATAAAGTATCATACTTTGTTCACATAAGCCAATCAAAATATTGTAATTGAATTATTTAAATGAAAAGTTAAAAATGATATAATGTTTTTAATCAACCGAATGAATAATAGGCACGGTACTTCAATTTTCAATTGGGTACCGTAGTTCTCACCTTATCGTTTTCAAGTTTATAAAATAATCCTTTAATGCTTTTAGGAGATCTCACTTTGGAGTTTAACATTCAGCTTAGTACGTTACTATTTACTAAAACTTAGTAATAACTAATAAATACACTACAAAAAAAACATGGGATTGATAGGGATTTTTGCAAAGATTTTGGCAGAGATATGCCAAATTCGTGCCAAAAACACTTTGACACGAACTATTTGGCACGAAAAATCGGTAAGTCTATGCCAAATTCTGTATCAATCCCGTAATTTTTTTGTAGTGATATAGTACAAGTAACGAGCATGTAAAAATATGAATATTGAGCTGAGAGTGCTTAAAATGTTATTAAGGTTAAACAAAATCAAAGAATGTTATTAAGGTTAAACAAAATCAAATAATGTTATTTCAAAAAATGTAACAATGAGGTCACAATTACGCAACAAGACTAAAATTAATATTCAAGAATTTGAAGTGCTTCATTTACAATAGAAAAATAATAACATTTCAATTTAAAATTAAAGAGTGAATATTTTCACATAATACTAAATCTTTATTTTTAAATTTTGAATTTTTAATTTATTTCATGTGTTGTTTGAAATTTATTTTATCTATTTAAAGTCAATAAGAGTAAATTTTCCCCTTTATAAGAACATGAGGGGTGATTTTGCACTTTTTAAATGTTCAAGGGTATATATGCACTTGCATATATATACTTCAAGGATATATTTGTTCCGAAATATAAAACAATTTTACATTTGTTCTCACGCCCATACTAGAGAGTATATTTAATTTGTACCTTTTCCCATTATTATATACCCTGTATAGACTAAAAACTAAATGGGAATTCTTTCAAATAGAACTAAAATTATGGCAAAAACCAAAATAGGACTTGTTATATTTTTATTTCAAAATAGGACCATATTGATCCTATCGGAAACATACCTATTTTTTCATTACATTCTTACCCCTCCTTTAATATGATTAAAAGGTTGTCAAAAGTCATAATTAAATGCTTAATTCATAATAAATATGAAAAAATTTAAAAAATCGTAGAAAAATAATAAAAAATTAATAAGATATTTATAAAATACTTATAAAATAAAAAATTAAATTTTTATTTTAAAAAATTGTTTTTTTAATTAATAAAAAATTGTAAAACTCCATAAAAAATAAAAAAATAAAAATGGATGTCTTTCCCACCGCCTATACTGCCTCCCTGCACCACCTACTATCGGTGTAAAAAATGTCATCTTTTCTAAAAACTGTCATTTTGACAATTAATCCTATCAAAACATAGTTTACTTTTTGGTCTTATTTATGCAAAGTGAGAACCTTTTAATCGACAATTCAATTAACCCAAAACTAAATAGTCTCAACTTAAGAAATTACAAACTAAATATTTTAATGTATTCTGGCAAAACATATAAGCTGGCTTTCGAACAAGAAATCCAACTAACGTGCTGATATATGATTGTCGATCTGTGTGTTAGTGTGTTACGGTAGTCGGTAGAATTGTGTTCTCTCTCTAGCCTATATGTAGAAATACTTGATTTGAACCTATGTGGAACAGCTGCAGTTATTTGTGTTTGTATATGTCGGAAATATGATGAAATAAATAATGGTATAATATGTAAATTGGGTATGACTTGTTATACATTAAAGAACAACTTATGCATGTTTGGATTTATTTCATTTAATGACTAGAATCCATAGTTGTGCAAGTTGTAAGTGTAATGTATTAGTTTGATGAATTTATTGTCCAATATTAAAAAAAAAATGGCATTTTTATATGAAAAGGAATAATGTTTAAGTATCATATAATGATAAAAGCCATTTATTTTTTGGGACAAAAATTCTGAAATGTTTAATTGCACACAAGTAATGTTGCCGATTAAGTATAGATATGGACGTGTGCTTTGAATTTAAAAATTTAAAGTGCTTGGCTTGATCATACTTAGTTAAGTTGATCCGGTCATCATGCATGGATCGTGGCGGCAGAATTATAGGAGCGGTTAAACATTTACTTGACCAATTGTTCGGTATATTATACTTATCTGATTTCCGAAGTTAAAAGAACAGTCCGCTGCATGCAAACTAATTCTCACGTACATAAGCCTTTTGTTCTAGCTCTTTGAGAGAATCCACTTACAAAACCATATTAAAAACATACGTGCGTGCTTTGTGGATACTTCTGATATCTCCACTTGAGAGTTATTCCACTTCATTTTAGTATTCTTGAAAAGCCATAGTGATATCAATATATACGGAGTATATTTGTACGTACTACATTCCTCTCCTATTGTGGGCTCTTCTCTAGTCAACGGCAAATCGGGCAACAGACGAAGGTTTCAGTCAAGGTAGCTACAAGTCTGAAATGGAGTAGGATTATCCTGGAAGCGAGTTGGCCAGTCCCGTTCGAGTAGCTATCGAGATACGGGGGCTATCTTTCTTCAAGGCCAGTCCGGTTAACGGGCGATCTTACGCTAAGTTTTCCATTCTCTACCCTTTACATTAATATTTTTTTTCTAATTATTATTTCTTTATTTGTTCTTGCATTTGGTGGTTTGTCTGGTGATTTGTGATTAAACTCGGGATTTTATCTGACTAAACTCGCATTAATTAATACTATTTTTTTCATCAATCTTGAAGAAAGATATTATTTTTCGAGTTTTGAAAATCCAATATGACGAACTTGGAAAATGCTGCTACTTCCGAAAATGTTGTTGTTGAGAATAATGTGAATGAAATCCCTGAAAATAATGTTAATTCTGTGTCTGTGACTAATTCTGAAGACACACCTGAATTTGTTGCCACGGGCTCTCACAGGGTTGATTTGACCGGAATGCCTGAAAAATTTTCTGGACATTTTTTCAAGCGTTGGCAACAACGCATGAAAATTTGGTTAATCACCAAGGGATTGCTCTCAGTAATTATGACGGTGTGTCCCCCCGTTGTCGAGTCTGATCCCAAGAGTCTTGAACACCAATCTTTATGGCGTGAGAGGAATGAAATAGCCAAAGGAATGATATTGTTGGGACTCTCCGACATGTTATTTGATGTCTATTGCACCCTCCACGGCACGGCTAATGACCTTTGGGATGAGCTGGATAGGAAATATAATACTGATGACCACGGTCTCGAAAAGTATATTGTTTCCAAATTCTTGAGATTCGACATGAAGGAGTGAAAATCTGTTTTAGAACAAAGACAAGAATTTGAGCTTATCTTACATTCTCTCCGTGAAGCAGATATGGAATTGCCTGAAAAATTTAAAGTCATAGTTGTAATTGAAAAATTCCCCAAATCGTGGGAAGATTTTGGTTTGACTTTAAAACACAAAATGAAAAAGATAACTTTGAAATCTTTGATGCATTCCATTACTGTTGAGGAAGAACATAAGAAAGCGGGTTACATTGTTCCTGTTGAATTTCAGCCAAAGGCTCATGTTGTAACCGTGGGAAAATAGTCACAAAATTCTAAGAATAAACAACCATCATCTTTTAAACCAATAAAGGCCAAATTAAAAATTGCAAAGAAACCAAAGGCAAACCATCCATGCTGGAACTGTGGACAGATGGGGCATTGGGCCAAATTATGCCCAAATAAAAAGGCTAAGGCTCAATCTGGTGGACCTCAAGTCAACATGGTGACTGGAGGAACTAGCTCTGATGGGTATGTTTCTTTTAACCCTCAAGTTTTCACTATTTATAATTCCAATGAGTGGCTAATAGATACATGAGCGAATGTGCATGTATGTGCTGATAAATCGCTCTTTGTTTCTTATCCGCCAGCGGTTGGAAGAACAATGATGATGGGAAACACAAGTGCTGCTAGTGTGCATGGAGTTGGAAAAGTGGAAATAAAATTTCCTTCGGGAAAAATTCTCTTTGCATGGGGTGCATCATGTTCCCGAAATTAGAAGGAACATTGTTAGTGGTTCCATTCTTGTAAGGGAGGGTTATGAATTGTCTTTTAAATTAAATAAAGTTGTAATTTTATTTGGTGGAACATTTATTGGCAAGGGTTACTTGTCAGATGGACTTTTTAAGATTGTGGTTGATTATTATGAATTAAATTATGTATCTGAGAATTTTGATTCTTCAACTTTATGGCATTATCGTTTGGGTCACGTTAATTTAGATTCTGTGAAAAGAATGATGAATTTAAATTTAATTCCTAAACACTCAATTGATAAAACTAAGAAATGTATGGTATATGCTACTACAAAACAAGTAAGAAAACCTTATCATTCAATTGATAGAAATTCAGAATTACTTGATTTAATTCATACCGACATTTGTGAGTTTAATGGAGTGCTAACTCGTGACAAAAAGAAATACATTATCACTTTTATTGATGATTATTCTAAATACTGTTATGTGTATCTACTTAAGGGTAAAGATGAAGCTCTTGAAAAATTCTTAATTTTTAAGAATGAAATAGAGAATCAAATTGACAAGAAAATTAAAAGGTTAAGATCTGATAGAGGAGAGTACACCTCTAATTTAGTTGTACTAGAATGCCAAAAATATGGTATAGTACATGAAGAAACACCTCCTTATTCACCACAGTCAAATGGAGTAGCTGAACGGAAAAATAGAACTTTTAAAGATATGATTAACAGTTTATTAAAGAACTCTAGATTACCTAAGTTTATGTGGGGGGAAGCCTTGAATACGGCCTGCCATATTTTGAACAGGATTTCCATGAAACATAAAGATAAGTGTCCATTTGAACTCTTGACACGCAGAAAACCAAGTTTAAAATATTTTAAAGTGTGGGGCTGTCTTGCAAAAGTATTAGTCCATGAACACAAAAGAAAGAAACTTGGGCCTAAAACTGTTGATGCTATTTTTATTGGTTATGTTGAACATTCTTATGCATTGAGATTTTTGGTTATTAAATCTGAAATTTCTGGCATATATGTTAATACTATTATAGAACTTCGTGATGCTACTTTCTTTGAAAATGTTTTTCCGATGAAAACAGGTGTGCCCCAAAATATTTCTTTTAAAAATCAAGAAACCACATTTAATTCAATTCCTGATCAAGTGGAAAAGATGACAAATGTGGGGGTAGAATCTAGTAGTACTAGTCACGCTAGTTTTGAATCAAATGAACTAGATGAGCCCCGAAGGAGCACACGGGCTAGGATCACTAAGGAATTTGGAAGTGATTTTATCACTTACAATATTGAGGGTGATCCAGTTTTCTTTAGAGATGCAATGGCTACATCTGAAGCCATGCATTGGAAGGATGCCATTAAAAGTGAAATTGACTCTATTGTTCAAAATGGAACATGGGAGCTCGTTGATCTTCCTCCGGGGTGCACTACTATTGGATGTAAATGGTTTTTTAAGAAGAAATTAAAATCGGATGGAACCATTGATAAATATAAGGCCAGATTAGTTGCTAAGGGTTACAAACAAAAAGAAGGTATTGATTTTTTCGATACATATGCTCCAGTCGCAAGAATGACCACAATAAGAATGCTTATAGCATTGGCCTCCGTATATGATCTTAAAATTCATCAAATGGATGTTAAGACAGTTTTTCTTCATGGTGACCTTGAAGAAGAAATTTATATGGATCAGCCTGAGAGATTTGTGGCAAAAGGCAACGAGAGAAAAGTTTGTAAATTAGTTAAGTCTTTATATGGACTTAAGCAAACCCCTAAGCAATGGAACGAAAAATTTGATAAAATAATTTCTTCGTTTGGATTTACTCTTATAGATGCTGATCAAAGTGTTTATTATAAATGTAAAGGTGATATTAGTATTATTTTATACCTATATGTTGATGATATATTATTATTTGGCACTAATGATAATATTATTTTTGAGACTAAGTCATTTTTGAAAACAAAGTTTGAAATGAAGGATATGGGGGTGGCTGAAGTAATTCTTGGGCTAAAGTTGACTAGATCAACTGAAGGCATTTCTATTTTTCAGTCGCATTATATTGAAAAAATAATTGAGAAATTTGGATTTAAAAATAGTAGAATAGCTAAAACACCCTATGATCCTTCAGTAGCTTTGTATAAAAATGAAAGTGGTATTCCTGTGTCTCAATTAAGATATTCTCAGATGATTGGTAGCTTGGGTTACTTAGCTAACTGTACTAGACCCGATATTGCATTTTCGGTGTCTAAGTTGAGCCGGTACACTTGTTGTCCAAACAGAACTCATTGGGAGGCCTTAGATAGAGTATTTAGATATTTAAAAGGAACAATTTCCTTGTGTTTGCATTACGGTAAATATCCTCCTGTTCTTGAGGGATATAGTGATGCAAGCTCGATAGCTAAGAATTCCGGGAGTTATGGATGTACTGGCTATGTGTTTACCTTTGGTGGTGGGGCTGTTGCCTGGAAGTCCACTAAACAAACGATACTTTCTCGGTCCACTTTTGAGGCTGAATTATGTGCATTGGATACTACAGGAATTACGGCTGAATGGTTTATGGGACTAATGTCTGAGTTACCTATATTCAGCAAGCCAATTCCACCTATTTCTTTGCATTGTGATAGTATGAGTAAAATTGCAAAAATTAGGAGTACCAAGTATAATCAAAAGATTAGGAGACACATTCAAGTTAGATTAAAAACTATAAGGAAATTTGTGTCTCAAGGGGTATTTGCTGTTGATTTTGTTGGATCCAAAGATAATACAGCAGACCCTTTAACAAAAGGACTTGATTTAAATCAAGTGATAAAATCCAGGTTAGTAATGGGACTGAAACCCAGTAATTATTCAACTACGGTAGCAACCCAACCTATCTGAGTGGAGATCCCATAAAGTAGGTTCAATGTGGTATAAACAAACCGTAGTGTGAATTGTGCATCTCATTAAAATATTTTATGAGTTCTATTTCTTGATAAACCTGAGAGATGCTGAAATTGCTAAGTAAGTAAGAGTTTAAGACTCTGAATGGGATCGAGCTTTAAAGCAGAGTGTTAGCAATGCACTCTTGGAGATGCCCAACTATAAGAATGTTATTGTGTGGCCGCAATTAGAGAATAGAAGTTAATTCTCGATGACATTCTTGAGACAGGATCGGGACGCACGGCCGTAAAGCGTCAACCCTATAGATCGTTGCCATTGCCTTTAGTGTGTTGCTTTTACTCTACACCACCACAACCAAGGTTCGAGTTCAAGAACTATGTTCACTCTGTTCCTGTGGGAGTTAGGTTAAAAGCTTAGAAGTTGGTTCAAACCGGAAGGTACCATATTCGAAAGCACATTATGTCTTTTAGAGTTGAGCCTGCAACTATGGATTTGTGGGGGATTGTTGGAAATATGATGAAATAAATAATGGTATAATATGTAAATTGGGTATGACTTGTTATACATTAAAGAACAACTTATGCATGTTTGGATTTATTTCATTTAATGACTAGAATCCATAGTTGTGAAAGTTGTAAGTGTAATGTATTAGTTTGATGAATTTATTGTCCCATATTAAAAAAATGGCATTTTTATATGAAAAGGAATAATGTTTAAGTATCATATAATGATAAAAGCCATTTAATTTTTGGGACAAAAATTCTGAAATGTTTAATTGCACACAAGTAATGTTGCCGATTAAGTATAGATATGGACGTGTGCTTTGAATTTAAAAATATAAAGTGCTTGGTTTGGTCATACTTAGTTAAGTTGATCCGGTCATCATGCATGGATCGTGGCGGCAGAATTATAGGAGCGGTTAAACATTTACTTGACCAATTGTTCGATATATTATACTTATCTGATTTCCGAAGTTAAAAGAACAGTCCGCTGCATGCAAACTAATTCTCACGTACATAAGCCTTTTGTTCTAGCTCTTTGAGAGAATCCACTTACAAAACCATATTAAAAACATACGTGCGTGCTTTGTGGATACTTCTGATATCTCCACTTGAGAGTTATTCCACTTCATTTTAGTATTCTTGAAAAGCCATAGTGATATCAATATATACGGAGTATATTTGTACGTACTACATTCCTCTCCTATTGTGGGCTCTTCTCTAGTCAACGGCAAATCGGGCAATGGTCGAAGGTTTCAGTCAAGGTAGCTACAAGTCTGAAACGGAGTAGGATTATCCTGGAAGCGAGTTGGCCAGTCCCGTTCGAGTAGCTATCGAGATACGGGGCTATCTTTCTTCAAGGCCAGTCCGGTTAACGGGCGATCTTACGCTAAGTTTTCCATTCTCTACCTTTTATATTAATATTTTTTTTCTAATTATTATTTCTTTATTTGTTCTTGCATTTGGTGGTTTGTCTGGTGATTTGTGATTAAACTCGGGATTTTATCTGATTAAACTCGCATTAATTAATACTATTTTTTTCACCAGTATATTAATTGAACATCTAATTGGAAAACTATACTTTACGTTTTACGATGTTTGATCGATGATAAAACAAATTGATCCCTGTAAACACTCAAATTAGTTTCAGAAACTAAAATTTACATATTCAGAAACTACATTAAAAACGCTACAAAATCTGCAAAAAATAATTCAAATTTCATAAACTTTTGATATATAAAGTAAAAGATTAAGAGTGATTTATGTTGACTAAGTGAATAGTAAATGTATCTTACAATTTTGTACTGAGGGAGTATTTTATAAAGTTGAGATTAATAGTTGGCGTTAATCAAAGTTAACTCCTTACTGTATTATTTAAAATGTCACTTGAACAACCACTACAAGCTTCAATTCCTATCATAAGATGATTAGCTTTACCAACATAAGCCACGTACTAGCTATATACCCATATATCTATATTGACTAACACAACCAAACATTATAGCCCACGTGATTGTGAGGTTACCTTATCTAGTGAGAGGTCTCGAGTTCGAAACTCGTTAGACACATAAGGTTTGAAACTCAATGGAGTGAGTTTGAACCCTGATTACTTTAGTCCCCAGCCACCCTGACCTCCCTGGAGTAAAAAAAAATTGACTAACATCCTCTCCCGCCGCCACCACCCACCACAATAAATTTTAGGGTGTCCCAACCAAATTTGGCTCGGATTTAGACGTGGACTACTTAAAAATTAAAATCAGACACTTTAGGGTTTTGGCATAAAAAAATCCATCACAATTTACCCTTGATAAACTTCTGAGTC